CATGAATACTAGATGAATTGCTCTTCAAAACGATGTTCCCGGCGCATAATTCAGGGCATTCTAATGGCTTCTGGAAACATTTGGAATCTGACTCATGACCGCCGTTCTGGTTCAAAAAAACGGAAAGCGAGAGAGGTCTAAGGTTAAGTGATGCCAAAGTACGCTGCCACATCAAACATAGGGTCTAGAAAAAAGGGTAATTCATGAAAATGCCAAACAACAGCACAATTATGAAAATAAATGAACAAAGAGAAAAGTGAGAATCTCCGCGTAGTAGTAGAGCATTTCACTTTGTAGAAACAAGTGGCATGAAAAATGATAGATTTTTTTCTTTTTTCGTTGTTATTAATATTCATTGCGAGATCACAGAATTGTCGTGTCCAAGTATAATTTTACATACGACATGGCGTTAACACTTTCCACATCTATAAGGACAAGAAACGCAAGGAAGTCTTCAGATATTCATAAAATTATCAAATCCTTTGGGGCAAGGTGCTTTGAACCTGCGGTTTGGTATCATTATAGGGTACCTCTACAACATTACTAGATGGAGAACGCCTTAGTAAGTAGAAGGCTAGGTAATCAATTGGATTAGCAGGTTTTACACGACACAAATCTTCCAGTCCCTGATTAAGTGTGTCCATCACAGTCGACTCTAAATACGCCTGGGCATTGATATCAAACTTCGATATCATTTCAGTATGTCCTTGCTCACATTGATTAAGCGTTTCAACACACACAGTGTTGGCGTGCGCACTTTCTGTGTCCGGTTCTACGGACGCTGTTGGCTTTGCAGAACGACTTGAATTTGTTGCCTCCATAGGAGACAATGCGCTGTATTTGAATCCTTGAAAAAACGCTAGAACACCAGAAAGCTAGTTTGTCAAAATGAGACCTACAGAAAGAAGACAGGGAAAGGCTTTCTTGAAATAAAAAAGCAATAGAATTGTAAGAAAAGGAAAAGGATAGCATAGGCATTACACCTCATCCTTTAAGCATCGCGAGGAATAACAAACACAGACTCTATTACCAAAAGAAGTAGAGATAAACTAAATCTTTCGTTTCATTTCCTTAAGAAGGTTAAAGTATATTACACAACTTTGTTGCTTAAAATATAAAGAAAGAATTTATTAGGATATCGTCAAAGCCCAGACAACACTTACTTACTTAAACTAAGCTATTTTTTTTTTTAATAAAACAGCATATGCAAAAGGGTTCTCATGCTCTACTCACCCTTCCTCTTCTCCTTCATCCTTTTTCCCCCCTCCTCCTCCTGCAAAAGCGAGTGGCTTGAGGTATTACGTTGTTTCCTTTCAATGGCAGGAAACAAAAGACATACGGGGTTATATGCACAAATCTGCACTTTTCACAACCACTATTTAATGGTCCGTAAATAGTAATAGGCAGGACTTCTCGATAGCGTAGCTCCCAAATGCATCCAAAGCGAGCAGTTTCAAAAAACGAGTGCGAAACTCCAGTGATGGGAAGACTACAATTTCGAATAGTTTATTTACCTCTGGATCAGACTCAGTAGCAAAAGAAACGATCACGAGAGCAAGAATCACAAGAGCAATGAACATGGGACGGTTCTTGTAAATGCTCTGCATAAAAGGTTCTCCGCGGTAGTTGACAGCAAAAATAGTCCCAGACATGAGTGTCGTCATGAGAAACATTGTTGAATTTAGTAGTGTGGGCTTGAACGAGTCCCCTTCGCCGAACTTCTTCATCTCAAGCATCGTCTCTGCATCGACCTCGCCAACCATTCTTGAGGTCATTATCATGCAATAAAGATGGAGCGCGAACTGTAAGAAAACGGTGCAGACCATGTAAGGGTGGAAGACACGCGTGACGGGTCGCTGCGGACACAGACGTGTGAGGGGTTTGCTGCGCGACATGAACATAAAACATACCGACAATATCACCCCGGACAAAATCATTTGCTTCTCGCCCATCTTTACCCCATCCAGATGAAGCACCGACATTGAATACGCCGAATTCAGGCAGCTGAGGGCCAGGATCTTGTACATCATGTGCGTCGTGACTAGTGTGCTGCGGCCCAGGCGGATGATATCGCAAACCGACGTGAGTGCCTTGGAGCGACAGGTGAAGGGGGCCGCAATGGAGGCATCGCCGAGTTTGATCATCGGCGCCCCACCAAAGCCATCATCCTCGGCGTTGAACATAGACTCCATGAGGAATTCAGACCCCCCCATTGCAGCGCCCAACGGCGGAGGCGGTGCTGCGGCCTTGGCATCCTTCTTCGCCTTTTCGGCTGCCTTCAGCGTTTCATTCCACTTCTTTATCTGTGCGATTTCTACCTTTCGCTTCGCCTCGGACATCTTGAAGGACATTACCTCAGTGAAGGCAGAGCCCATGGGTGGCTGCGGGGGTACAATGGTAAACTTGAAGTTGGGTGGCACCTTCATATCAGATGGCAGGTCAGGCTCGTTGTGCGGTTGTGGGCCCACCTGCACTTCCCCTTCCGGAGTTTTCACCTGTACTGAAGATGAATTTAGGACAGCAATGCCGGCGTGGGCTTGCTTGAGCGCGCCCACATCGTTCGTGCCGTCACCGGCCATCATAACAACATGCTTCTTCAGCTTCAGATCTGTGATGATTTCTTCTTTTTGAGAAGGAGCGCAACGAGCCCAGACCGCGACGCACTCACTAAAGTTCTTAACAATATTTTCGAAGGCCTCGGAGGGCATGTTTTCTGCATTGACGCATAGATCCCACTCATCCTCCCGCGGTTTCAACTTTTTACGAGAGTACACAAAGGTGTTGGCGATGATGATCTCCGTGCTACCTCTCTCGATGCTACCCGTCACGGCATCGACCCAAGTCACCGCACCATCCTCCGACAGCTTCGCGATCAGCTGCCGCTTGGAGAGCAGCATCGTGACGTCCCTGCCAACAGATATCGCAGTCTGGACGCTGTCACCAGTGATAATAACGCAGCGATGCGACCCCCCCACGAGATTCTCAATCGTCTCGCGAGCATCCTTCTTGAGCGGGCACACGTAAACCGCAAGCCCAGCAAAATTCAGTTCCTTCTCCACGTCATCCCGTTTAAGAGCGGCGACACCATCCTTGAAATAACACTCTTCTTGGGTCAGGCGGCGATAGCCAAGCGCGATTACGCGATACCCCTTCGACGCGGTCTGCTCGGAAATCTTTAAGAGATCCGTCGGTGTGCTGCTGCAGAGAGCAGCGATAGTCTCCGGCGATCCCTTCGTGACCACATAAGTTCCATCGTTTGTTCGTACAATGCAGGACATGCGTCGCAGCGACGCCACAAAAGGAAAACGCGCGAGGATCTTAAATCGCTTCTCCAAAGGCTGCTTATGCTCCCCTTTGTTGGAATTCCCAAGCACCTTGGTGGAAGTCAGAGAAGCTTTTGAACCTGTCTTATCCTCACTCTTTTCATTTACGGATGCTGGGTCATACAGAATGTTGTTGTCGTCGTCTATGCGGTAGCCGAGAACACTCACAGCGGCCTTTTCCATCTCGTCTCCCGCGAGCGTATTCTCGTCCAGGTATACCAGCGAGTGGCAGGTCGCCAGCACCATATCAGATGTTTTCGGAATCGCCTTGAGCGTGCTCAACAACCCCCTGCCGTCGACCATGTCAACACCGCCGAAGAGCATCTCATCCGTTGTCAAAGTCCCGGTCTTATCAAAGCAGCACGTGTCGACCATACCTGCATAAGGAATACGGAATGGCTCCGTGCAGAAGATGGAGATTTTCGAGAGTGCGAGCAGGGAAGTGTTGACCGTGAGAGAGAGTTCCATCGGAAGTTCTGGTGGGACCACCGACGTGACGATTTGGACGCTGGATAGGAAAAGCTTCCACCGGTTGCGACGCGGGTCTGCCAGTCCGTGCTTGAGCAGGTAGCCGCTGGCAGCCAGAGCGAACACGACTAGGACACCGATAAAGGCGAAGGCCTCGCCGCTGTTCTCACTCACACGGCCTTGGCTATGCAAGATGGTGCGCAGCAGCTTACCTTGCTTGGTCTCAAACCCTGTCTTGAGAACCACTGCGAGGGCATTGCTGGGAGCTTTTGAGTGGGACTTAAGGTTATTGTCAAGCTCCTCCTTGGGGCCACTGCTCAGAAGAATTTGTGTACCGGAAAATATCATGTGCCGCGTGTGCTTCTTGATGTTAAGAGCGAGATCGATGTCGTCTACAGCTTCCTTGAGCTGTGGTGTGGACTCACCCGTCAGCGTCGCTTCATTGACCACACAAGTGCCTTTGACCAGAACCGCATCCACTGGGCATGGTTGGTTGCTAGGAACCACGAGGATATCCATAGGTAGCAAGGCATCTGTCTTAATGTCAACCTCTTTACCGTTTCGAATCACCTTGGCATCGCGCAAGGGAATTTCCGCCATATCACGCAGCATACGCATATTACGGATTCTCTGGTATACCGTCGCACACTCCATGCCCACCATCATGACGCCTGTGAAAAGAGAATAGTACCAGTACTCGTCAAGGCACCAAAGCAATACACAAAACATCTGAAATACAAAAAAAGGGGAGAGCATATGATCAACAAAGAGGTCGTGAAAGTCGGGTATAATCACCTCCATTTTGTTTAAGCCGTACGTGTCCAACTGTTTTTCACGGTTTGCCTCGGTGGGAATACCCTTCCAGTTGATGTAGTGTGAAAAGGAGTATTTTGTAGGAAAGGTGGGCTTCACAAATAAACCCTTCTTATCATCCAATTTCCACTTCCGCTGCTGAAACACAAAACACGGCTGTGAATCCTTCTCAGATTCTTGCTGCAAAGGCACAACCTCAGATTCGCCCTTATGAGAGTGCGTGATCACCAACACATCCGTAGCATCCCCTAGCCTTTCCAGAGGCACAGTCTTATAAAGTATATTTGAGCGGAACTTAACGGACCAGATCGTGAACATCGAAAGGAACACGTGTAAAAAGATACTAAGCGGTAAAAAGGTAGTATGAAGAAAATCAATGTAGGTCTGGTGTACCAGGTACGTAATTCGGTCCCAGATAAGCTCCGGGTTATGGTAGAGAGCTATGCTTGCCGCATAAAGGAACACGAACGGCCATATGGTCACCCACGTTGTCCAGTGTTTGCGGCATAAGGGACGAACCTCACTGATAATGCTGTTATCGATAATACTGCTATTAGTACGCATGACGTCCTTCACGTTTTGAATATTGCTATTTTTGCCTTTGGATCTTTTCTCTTTCCTGCACTCGCTAAGTTGTGCGTCGTTTCTTGGTATGATAATACAGTAAGAAAACTCGTGTTTGCTCCTCTTAAACTTGTTAAAATACAGCCCTTATATCAAATTATCACAGAACCTTTTAATTAATGAGTGATAAACCTTGCTGTTTTTATCTATGAATTTAGATAAGGGTAGACAGTATCTATTTAAGCATTTTTTACAATTTAAGAAAAGCGAAGTCGAACATAGAACTTGGGATTACGACACCAAGCTTCTGTTTATCATGTAGTTCCTGATCAAAGTCGTTTGGCATCAGGTTGAAACAGGCATCTATTATTTTGACTATAGTTAAACTATACATCATAAGGTAATCCCTTCTAAAATCCATAAGTACAAAAATAAGTCATGATGAATATTAGATTCAGCTGCATATTCCTATGTAATCTCAAGACATGGCCATTTATGAAGAGGGAGGGGAGAGAG